CCAGGGAAGTCTTCCCTGGTGCCAATGCATGATAGTGGGTAAGACCTTATATTCAGAACCACCATCCTGATTACTGAGAGACACCTAAGAGGAACACTTTGTAAGCGTTCCCAGGGTGCAGATTGGTCCCTGGCCCTACCTCCTCCTAGCTGTGTGGTCTGGGGCAGGTCACATCATCTGTCCAAGCCTCAATGTCCTCATCTCTAAATTGGGCTTAAGAAAAGTATCTACTTCTTAGGGTTGTCATGAGGAATAACAGAGTCTCCGCACACTGAAGTGCCTGGCATGGTGCTTGGCACATAGTAAGGGCTCAGCTAATAATAGACTTTGCTATTACAAAGACGTCACTCTATGTATTTTTTTTTTGTTGTTGTTGAGATGGAATCTCACACTGTCGCCCGAGCTGGAGTGCAGTGGTGCGATCTTTGCTCACTGCAACTCCAAGCGATTCTCCTGCCTAAGCCTCCTGAGTACCTGGGATTACAGGTGCCTGCCACCACACCTGGCTAATTTTTTGTATTTTTAGTAGAGACGAGGTTTCACTATGTTGTCCAGGCTGGTCTCGAATGCCTGACCTTGTCATCCACCCGCTTCAGCCTCCCAAAGTGCAGGGATTACAGATGTAAGCCACTGCGCCCAGTGTTTTTTTTTTTTTTTTTTTTTTGAGACCAAGTTTCCCTTTTGTTGCTCAGGCTGGAGTGCAATCATGTGATTTGGCTCACTGCAACCTCCGCCTCCTGGGTCCAAGCAATTCTCCTGCCTCAGCCTCCCGAGTAGTTGAAATTACAGGCACGTGCCACCATGCACAGCTAATCTTTGTATTTTTAGTAGAGACGGGGTTTCACCATGTTGGCCAGGCTGGTCTTGAACTCCTGACCTCAGATGATTCACCTGCCTAGGCCCCCCAAAGTGCTGGGATTACAGGCGTGAACTACTGTGCCTGGCCCAGAACAACTCATTTTCTTAGGGCAGTAGGGTTCTTTTTTTCTGGAAACCAGAAGCATTTTGGCCTGATCGGCCTGGGAACTGGTGAACGGGCAGGCTGAGAGTAAAGCCAAGGCCTACAGTTCCTTTCATATTACCTTTGTCCTCACTGTCGCAGGTGGCAGGAAACCCCCTTCCAAGGCTCTTTGATCTCACTGGGAAGCTGGGGCTTGGGGAGGCTGGCACAGGGGGTTGCTTCAGACCTGAGCATGAGGGTGATGGATTGTGGTGTGGGGATGGGGGATAATCCTCCCTGGAAGGAAGGCTTACCCAACATGTGTCAACAGACCCCAGTTGTCTGCTCAGGATTGTAATTTAAGATGCTGATTTTGCAACTCCTGAAGCTGGTGAAACACCATAGCTCCTTGAGTATTTCGTAGGAGATTTAAGGAGCTGCAAATTAGTGAACATGCAGTCTGCCTTGGTGCCTGGAGCAGAGCTCACATTCTAGAGAGATTATAGATTGGCAGCCCATGGGTGAGAGTCATTCCATGGATGACTTTCAGGGGCACATGGTTTCTGTTTGTTCCTTTATTTAGAATTGAATTCATTGCCAGCATTTTTTTTAAAACATGGAGATTATACATAGAAATGTTTTGAGCCAGGCACAGTGGCTCACACCTGTAATCCCAGTACTTTGAGAGGCTGAGGAGGGCAGATCACCTGAAGTCAGTTTGAGACCAGCCTGGCCAACATGGATGGAAACCCCATTTCTACTAAAAATACAAAAAGTTCCTCGGGCTTGGTGGCAGGTGCCTGTAGTCCCAGCTACTTGGAAGCCTGAGGCAGGAGAATCATTTAAACCTGGGAGGCAGAAGTTGCAGTGAGCTGAGATCATGCCATTGCACTCCAGCCTAGGCGACAGAGTGCCTAGACTCCATATAAAACAAAAACAAAAAAAGAAAATGTCTTGAAAAATCAGATCTAGCAACAGTACATGACAACCATTGGCTGAGTGTGATGGACCCCTTTTGCCGGGACATCAGAAGGCCAGTTTGTCTCTACTGTACCAAGGTTACCTGTCTGTCTGCTGCTGACAACTTAATTTGAGACCCCAGGCTTTACTGGTAAGATAGACACAGACTCAACTATTTATCAGTGAGTATTGTAGCTTAGGACAGTGGTTCTCCATAGAGGTGATTTAGCACCCTAGGGGGCAGTGGCAGTGTCTGAAGACATATTTTGGTTGTTGCAACTTATTTTGGTTGTTGCACGGTGTCTAGTGGATGGAGAGCAGGGATACTGCCCAGCATCCTACAGTGCACAGGACAGCCCCACGACAAAGATTATCCAGCCCCAAATGTCAGTAGAACTGAGGTTGGGAAACTGAATTAGGGGCACCAGCAAACTGGTCAGTAAGGAAGAGGTTAATTCCAGTGGTGGGGCTCAAGAAAGGCTTCCTGAATAGAAGAGGTATTGCTGGTGAGCAGCCACTTCATGATGTTCCTGCTCCCTTCTCAGCCCAGGAGCCTGGTTACTTTACAGAACAGGGTTGAAGTGTTGTATTAGTCTGTTCTCACACTGTTATAAAGAACTTCTCAAGACTGGGTAATTTATAAAGGAAAGAAGTTTAATTGACTCACAGTTCTTCAGGGCTGGGGAGGCCTCAGGAAACTTACAATCATGGCAGAAGGGGAAGCAAACATGTCCTTCTTTACATGGCAGCAGGAAGGAGAACTGCTGAGCAAAGGGGGAAAAGCCCCCTATAAAACCATCAACTCTCATGAGAACTCACTATCACAGGAACAGCATGGGGGTATCCGCCCCCATGATTCAGTTACCTCCCATGGGGTCCTTCCCATGATATGTGGAGATTATGGGAAGTACAATTCAAGATGAGATTTGGGTGGGGATACAGCCAAACCATATTAGGTGTACAGGCCAAAGCCTCATAGAGGCTACTGAGAGTTTATGGTCAAGCCACCTAGCTTCCTTAAGCCTTAGTTTCCTCACCTGTGTAGAACAGAATTTTGTCAGGTCTGTGGGGTACATGGGATACTTTCTACAAAGTTCTTACAACAAGACCTGGCTCAATTTTATAAAAATCAAACTCTTGGCTGGGTATGGTGGCTGGCACCTGTAATCTCAGCACTTTGGGAGGCCAAGGTGGGTGGATCATGGGGTCAGGATTTTGAGACCAGCCTGGCCAATGGTGAAACCCATTTCTACTAAGAAATACAAAAATTAGCTGGGCATGGTGGTGTGCACCTGTAGTCCCAGCTACCCAGGAAGCTGAGGCATGAGAATCACTTGAACCCGGGAGGCAGAGGTTGCAGTGAGCTGAGATCGTGTCACTCCTTCCTGGGCAACAGAGTGAGACTGTGTCTCAACAACAACAAAAAAAATCAGATTCTTGCTGAACACTCTCTGAATGCCTGGTACTGCAGGAGGCCCTGGGAATTTAAAGTCTCTCTCTCTTAATTTTATTTTTTTTTGTATTTTTATTTATTTATTTTTATTATTATTATTTTAGTAGAGACGGGTTTTCTCTATGTTTGTCAGGCTGTTCTTGAACTCATGACCTCAGGTCATCCACACACCTTGGCCTCCCAAAGTGTTAGGATTACAGGCGTGAGCCATTGCGCCTGCCCCCAAAGTCTCTCTTAAGAACTGACCTTGACTTTTTTGATTGCCTGATTTAGGATTTGTGGACTTTGCTGACTGGCAACATACAATTTTTAGGGAGAAATTTCTGGGAATTTTATTTGGAAGATGTGCACAAAGATTTCGCTTTTAACTAGGCCCACAGTGGCTATATTTATAAAGTGAAAAATCGGAAATAGTCTTAATGTCCAACTATAGGATATTGTTTTAATATGTGATGAGACAAATTGAGTATTATGCAGTCATTCAAGAGGAAGCAGATGGAAATTTGCTGATATGGAAAGATGCTCATTATTAAGTGAAAACAATATACAAAACAATCTTTGTATATCAGTAATAGGCCAGGTGTGGTGGCTCACACCTGTAATCCCAGCACTTTGGGAGGCCAAGAAGGGAGGATTGCTTGATCCCAGGAGTTCAAGACCATCTTGGGTAACATGGCAAAACCTTGTCTCTACAAAAATACAAAAACTAGCTGGGCGTGGTGGTGCACACCTGTAGTCCCAGATACTCGGGAGACTGAGGTGGGAAAATCACCCAAGCCCGGGAGGTGGACACTGTAGTGAGCCGTTATTGTGCCACTGCACTCCATCTTGGGCAACAGAATGAGAACCTGTCTCAAAAATACACACACACACACACACACACACACACACACACAAACACACTCTTACACTTTAAAACCTGGAGGCTAATAATTAACAGTGGGTATCTATAAGCAGTTTTTACAATTCTTTTCTTATTCTACATTTTTTCCTTTTCTAATTTTTTTTACAATAAATGTACATTTCTTTTGTGAAAAATAGTAATGTATTTTGTTAACCTTAAAATTATTTGATGCTATTAAAATATAAATGAAAACAATAATAAAAGAGAGGGCAAGTTTTCCAGCTGTTCCCATCTCCATCCCCAGCCTTATCTCCTGACTGGATTCTTGATCACCCCCAATAAACACGGGCTCTTCATTCGTTTCAGTATTTACTAACCTCAAAACAAGGCAATGTAAAGATGAATAATCACACTCTGCAGGTGATCTGTATGCATGCCTTTGAGTTGGGCTGAAAGAGGAAGTTTTTTTTTTTTTTTTTAAACTTTTTTTTTTTTTTTAAGAGACGGTTTCACCATGTTGGTCAGGCTGGTCTTGAACTCCTGACCTCAGGTGATCCGCCCGCCTCGGTCTCCCAAAGTGCTGGGATTACAGGCGTGAGCCTCCGCGCCCGGCCGGAAAGAGGAAGTCCTTTACCTCTCTGTCTTCCCTTATTTATTCTCTTTTAATCCATTTCTTCCATTCATTCGTAACTTGCGGGCGTTTCTTTAGTATTATCTAATACTTGGCGGTTCCCCCCCACCCGCGACACACACTTTTTTGTAAGCATGCGCACTCCTGGATGAGAGAGAGGACCGCTCCGCCAGGCGGTCCCGCCTTCTGACGTCGACCATTGGCCGGCTTTGCCAGCGCGCTCCTGATTGGTGGCTGTGGGCCGGGCTCCGCTGTTTCTCAAAGTTGGTGATACAGCGGCGGCGCGGCGGAATGGCAGCGGCTGCGGACTGGTTCTTAGGCGGGCCCACGGCGGTGCGGCTGCAGAGGTCGCCGCTACTCAAGGTGCTGGCGGAGCAGCTGTGGCACGACGCGGAGGGCGGCCGGACGTGTGGCGGCTGTCGTGGGCGACGGCGGGCCGCGGGCTGCTGGAGCTGGCGGCCGTGTGGATGCAGGGCACGGTGGTGATGGCTGGCCGCAGCGAGGCGCGGCTGCGGGACCCGAGCGGGGCCTTCTCGGTCCCCGGCCTGGAGCGGGTGCGGCGCAGGCGGCCCTGCCTCCTCCCAGGTAATGCCCGGGCCTCACCGGGTGCTCTCTTCCCTGCTGTCCCCCGAGAAGTTGCCAGCGGCCAGATTCATTGAACCTGGTCTTGACACTGGAAAGGGGGCGGGGCGCCACGGGACTGCCCTACCTCCGGGCCTCTGCCCCTGGGGTTCCCCCCCTGAGTACCCTTGCTTCGGTCCCTTCTCGGTCAAGTTGATCTGATGATAAGCATCACCTGCAGTCCCTTTAACAAATACAGATTTCCGGGACTCTTCCACCTCCTAATGGGAATCTTCTGGGAGGAACCCCGGCACCTGCATTTGTCACAAGCCCCCTCCCCCAATTGATTTCCTTGTTCACCATCAAGTTTTGGGAAATACTGCCCTGGGAACTTCTGCTCATCCTTAACACTCAACTCAAATGTACCTTTCTCAGGGAAGTCCTCCCCAACCCCTAGGAACGGGAGGCCCTCCTGTGCTGCTCCTTCATTGAACTGCCCTGGGCTAGAGCTCACACACGTTTGCCTCCTCTTTTTTTTTTTTTTCTTTTTGAGACGGAGTCTCACTGTCTCCCAGGCTGGGGTGCAGTGGCACGACCTCGGCTTACTGCAGCCTCCACCTCCCGGATTTAAGCTATTCTTGTGCCTCAACCTCCCAAGTAAATGTGATTAGAGGCATGTGCCTCTACACCTGGCTAATTTTTTTTTTTTTTTTTTTTTAAGAAGACACTGGGTTTTGCCATGTTTGCCAGGCTAGACTTGAACTCTTGGCCTCAAGTGATCTGCCCGCCTCGGCCTCCCAAAGCGCTGGGATTACAGGCACGAGCCACCGCGCCCTGCCTGCTTCCTCTCTTAAGCCACTGATACTCAAAACTTGAGCATGTATTTGTCTCTCCTGGAGGGCTTGCTAAAGCTGGGATGGCTGGGGCTCCACGCTCTGGGTTCCTGAGTCACAAGGTCCAGGTGGGGTTGGAAATTTGCATTTCTAACCAGCTCCTAGGTGATGCTGATGCTGCTGGTCTACTTTTGACTTTTTAAAACGTTTTATTTATTTGAGATAGGGGATTCACTGTGTTGCTCAGGCTGGCCTTGAGCTCAAGCAGCCCTCCTGCTCATCCTCCTTGGGTAGCTGGGACTATAGGCCTGCACCACCACACCTGGTGTTTGGGGGCCATACTTTGAGAACCACTGGGCCAGACCGAGCTTCTGGAAGGCCAGAGCTGTGTGGTCTTGACAACTGTATTCTCAGCATCTGGCCCAGTGCCTGACACATAAGTGCTCCAAGAACCAATTGTCTTGAGTGACAGGCAGTGGACATCCATCTCACTTGTTCACTGAGATGTCAATGGAGCAGGTGTTATACATCAGCCCCTCACGTGCAGCGCTGGGCTGCAGCAGAGACCCGATAAAGCCTGCTGGGAGATAGGCAGTGAGCATGTGTCCCAGAGGATCGCTGATCTCTGGGCAGCCATGAGGATGTACAAGGTGCTGAGTGGCCCTCAGAGGCTTCTGGAGGATGTTGAGATCTAAGCTGAGGAGGTCTGAGGATACGTGGGCCTTCCCTTCCCTGGGAGATCAGGCCAATATCACTTCATTCCTAAGGGCCCCTCCTGCTCAGTCTTGGAGTCTTAACTAGAGGCAGATAGGTCAGTGGTCTGGCCTGAACTGCTTTGGACTCAGGCTTAGGTGAATTCCTGGCTTCACCCCTTCCCAGCTGAGCTGCCTGGAGCACTTTTGTTAACTTTTCTGGATTTGTACTCTTTTGTAAAAAGAAGCTAATCATTCCTGCCTGTTGTGTTGATTCAGTAAGTAAACAACTGCCTTAACAGTGTGCCTGGCTCATAGTGAGGGTGCAGAACATGCTCTTCTCCCCTCCCCCCACCATCTTGCCCTTAAGCCTTCCCGCTGTCTGCCTGCCCTCAGCCCCAGCGCTGGTCTAGTACAGGGTCAGCAAACTACAGGCCTTCTCTTTTCACATGTCCAGTGAACTAAAAATGCTTTTTAAAGTTTTATTTATTCCTATTATTTTTATTTTTGAGACAGAGTCTTGCTCTGTGTCTCAGGCTGGAGTGCAGTGGCACAATCACAGCTCACTGTAACCTCCACCTCCCAGGTTCAGGCGATTCTTGTGCCTCAGCCTCCTGAGTAGCTGAGATTACAGGTGTGCACCACCATACCTGGCTAATTTTTGTAGTTCTAATGGAGATGGGGTTTCATCATGTTGGCCATACTGGTTGGTCTCGAGCTCCTGGCCTCAAGTAATCCTCCCACCTTCGCCTCCCAAAGTGCTGGGATTCTAGGCATGAGCCACTGTGTCTGGCAGGTTTTTACATTTTTAAATGGTTCAAAGAAAAATCATGACGTGAAAAGTATATGAAATTCAAGCATCAGTGTCCATGAGGTTTTTTTATTTTTTTATTTTTTGAGACGGAGTTTTACTCTCGTTGCCCAGGCTGGAATGCAATGGCACAATCTTGGCTTACCACAACCTCTGCCTCCTGGGTTCAAGCAATTCTCCTGCCTCAGCCTCCCAAGTAGCTGGGATTATAGGCATGCGCCACCATGCCTGGCTGATTTTTTGTATTTTTAGTAGAGACGGGGTTTCTTCATGTTGATCTAGCTGGTCTTGAACTCCCGCCTCAGGTGATCTGTCTGCCTCAGCCTCCCAGAGTGCTGGGATTACAGGTGTGAGCCACTGCGCCCCACCATAAGTAAAGTTTTATTGGAATGCCTTGGTACTTTTCAGAATGCCTCAGCCAGTGTCCCACTACAGCTAGAGTTGAGTATCTGGGACAAAGACCCTATGGTGGGAAAAGCTCGAAATATTTACTGTCTGACCCTTTACAGAAAACATTTGCCAACCCTCCCCTTTAGCCTTTGCCCAACATGTAACCCATGCTGCTTGGTGTGTTGGCTTGCAGGCAAAGCCCCTTGCAGGCAGGCTGGGGCAGTCTCCTGTCTGATCTCAGCCCTGGCATAAGCCTGGCATCTAGTAAATACTTCATTATTTGAACCAGTGGACATTGGTGAACTTGTCTGACATACCCACTGGCCTGAATGCCAGCTGGCAGGGGCCATGCCATTTCCTCTTGTTAATTAATACCAAGTCCAGCTTGACAAAATTGAGTCACTGCCTTCAGGCAGGGAGGCAGGGAGGTAAGCAGGCCACTAAAACACAAAGTAACATTGCAGGCAAGAGCCAGGTGGTGCAGACGAGGGACAGCTGATCCAGGCTTGAGGGCTCAGGGAAGGCTTCCTGGAAGAGGCAGCCCTGAAGGATGCACTGGAGTTACCTGTAAGGACCAACCCTCCTGGGACTGAGAGGGTCCTGGGACTGAGAGGGTCCTGGGACGTGGGGCTTTCAGTGTTAAAACTAGGACAGTTGTGCACCCTCTGTCTAGGTGCAGTGGCAGGAGATTGTGCAGCTCCATGGAACAGCCTGTGCAAAGGCTTGGAGGGAATAGAGTCCTGTGCATTTGGGGAGCCTGGGACAGTGGTGGAAGGAAGGAGGGGTCTATCCTGATGAGCCTCAGTGGCTGTCTGGAAGGACCTGCCTGCTTCAAGGTCGCCTTGAACTCTGCTCACTGCACTGCTGCTCTAGTGCTGTTCCTCCACTGCCTCTTCCTCTGGAACATCCAGGAGTTTGTTTCCATAAACCTAAGGTGCTGAAGATGCTGAGTTGAATGAGAAGCTTTTCCTGTCCTTAAGCTGCTCTTTGTTTGCAGGAGAAGCAGAGAAACCATGCTTACCTAGATCGTGCTGCGATCAACTGAGTTCTGGAGGCAGGAGGTGGATTTGAGAATGTTGACTGCAGCAGTGGGGTGGGGATGGTTTTGAAGTGGAGGAAGCTGGCAGAACATGGGCTGGGAACCATTGGAGTGGTCATGGCAACCAGGGGGTGGGGATACGGGAAGGAGAGGGTGGGACAGAGTGGAGAGCTGGGAGAGGGTGTGGGTAGAACCTACAGGGCCATTTTGTTTCATCGCATGCCTTTGAGCTCATCTGGCTGGCTGTGTGTGCCTTCCTACTAGAGCTCCTGTTCCCCTCTCCTGGTCAGATTGTTCTTGGACTTGTTCTTCTCTTCCTGTGCCTTCAGTTGTTCTACTTTTGTGTGTTCCAACCCTACCAGCACTTTAGGCCCATTCAGAGGGAACAACAAGTGCATTTTCAGAACTAGCCTTTCATTGAGGGACCCAAGTGGAATGTGGGGAGGAGCTCTGAGAACCTGAGCACATCCTGCCTGAGGTTGAACAGCAGGATTAGGGGTCAGCTTGCCTGGCTTCCTTCCGTCAGAGCCCCAGGCCCCACAGGCAGTGCAATGAAAGCAGCCTTATAGGGGCAGGCAGCAGGGCTGGCACCAGGCCTGTCCTTCCTGCAGTGTTTGGAGTTTTCTTTTATGCAGTTGGGTTTTGTGTGGTTGAGACCGATCAAGTTTTGCTTTGAAGGAGAGTCACTTCCCAATGGAATGGGAAGCGAATCACAGTTAATATGTCATTAGATCATCCAGGTGGCAGCCTGCCCTTGTGTGGATTTGTTTGTATGTGCTGAGGTGGCAGGGATAGGTCCCAGCAATTGTAACAGTGGGGCAGGGGCTGCCTGCCCAGCCTTTTTGGCAGCGTGGAGGGAAAATTGGATTTGCTTGGTAACTGTCAGAGGGTGTCTGCAGAAAGAGGATGCGTCCTGTGCACAGAGACCAGTCACATACTCTGTAGCATTGAGCAAGGAATGGGATTAGAGGAAAGCTGAGGTTTTCAGCCCCTGCCTCAGAGCAGCCTGTCTAATTTTAACTCATACTCTGATGGAAGCGTCTCCTCCATTCCTTAGGCATGATTACAGTTTATGTGACGGTTTTGTTTGGCCTAGTAAAATCAGAAACGAAAGAAGGTGGCTGTGTACGGTGGCTCATGCCTGTAATCCCAGCACTTTGGGAGACCGAGGTGGGTGGATCGCCTGAGGACAGGAGTTCCAGACCAGCCTGGCCAACATGGTGAAACCTTGTCTCAACTAAGAATACAAAAATTAGCCAGGTGTGGTGGTGGACACCTGTAATCCCAGCTACTCAGGAGGCTGAGGCACAACAGTCACTTAAACCCAGGCGGCGGAGGTTGCAAGGAGCCGAGATCACACCACTGCACTCCAGCCTGGGCAACAGAGTGAGGCTGTCTCAAAAGAAAAAAAAAAAAAGAAAGAAAGAAAAAAGAACATTACTATGGGCTTTTCTTCTTTTTTCTAGGAAAGTATGTGATGGTGATGGGAGTGGTGCACGCCTGCAGGCTGTGAAGATGACAGACCTTTCTGATAATCCCATCCGTGTAAGTATGTGGGAACTGGAAGTGGAAGATCTACACCGGAATATTCCTTAGATGATGTTGGAACTGTCGTTAAAAACAACCAAAATCCAACGATTTACAAGCTTATAATGATGTGGATTTCATGGACATTTTTCAATGCTTATTTTTCAAAAGTTTCTGAGAGCCTTGCTTTGGTTGACCAAGGAGTCTGGATGTAGGAATGTTTAAATCCTGGGATACTTGCTTTGCCTGTGTTTGCTGATGAGAAGCAGATGCTTTTGTCTTCCTGGTGTGTGTGTGTGTGTGTGTGTGTGTGTGTGTGTGTGTGTGTGTGTGTTAATTCTCTCTCTCAGACACAGAAGTCTCATGTTACATTTTCCAAATTTTTTGTGTGATGATACTTTTTCCATTACTGCTGCATCCCTGTTTTACAATGCAAAATTTATCTCAGTCATTGCCCGTGGTGTTTGAACTGTAGTTATGGGCAGGAAGACAGACTGTGTAAAAAAGGAATGACATCATGGCTCCTCATCTTCTTCATCAGCAACTACCATAACCAGTTTGCAAGTCAAATGGCATTTCATAACAGCAGGCGTGGCGGCCCCCAAAAGAAAATAGCTCCTTTTCTGCTTCGGACACCACTCAAATATTTAGACACTGCTCTATGCATTTTCCTCTGCTAGAGAAGGTGATGCCTTCTTCCATCACTCACAGATGTTGAGATGTTTTCAGAATTTCTTGTTGAAATGAAAAACATCAAGATTAAGGATGCTTTTCAGGCCTTAGCTGAACTTCCGCTTCATTACTTTGGGAAAGACATGGCGAGTTTCCTAGTTTAGAGTTCTTTTGTCTTTTTGTATGGAATGACTTTGCTGTGATTTGAATATTGGGTTTCTGCTGTCTGCTTAATACCCATGCCTGATTTTTGGAAATTGTACATATCAAGGGAGTTAGGTTATGCTCTGACATGGTTGTAGACTTTCACCAGGATTATTGATATTCTACCTCTAATAAATTAATATGCTATATATATTTTTAATAGATTTAAAAAAAAGTTCTAGGTTTTCAGAAAAATGGAGCAGAAACTACAGCATTCCCACATACTCTACCCTCATACCCCACTCTCCCAGGTTTTCCACCTGTGAACATCTTTTATTAGGATGATACATTTAATAAACCAACATTACATTTTTATTAACTAAAGTCTCGTTTACATTGGGCTTCATTCTTCCTCTTATATATTCTGTGGATTTTGCCAAATGCACAATAACATGTATCCACCATTACAGTATCCAGAATAGTTTCACTTCCCTGGGTTCCCCTTGTTCACCCCTCCACCCAAACCTGATAATATCTGATCTTTCTTTTTCAGCTTTGTCTTTTCCAGAATATCATATAGTTGGATCATACAGTATGTAATTTTTTTTGGACTGGCTTCTTTCATTTGCAGTGCATATAAGATTCCTCCATGTCTTTTTTTTTTTTTTTGAGACAATCTCACTCTTAGCCAAGCTGGAGTGCAAGGGCACAGTCACAGCTCACTGCAGCCTCAACCTCTAGGCTCAGGTGATCCTTCCATCTCAGCCTCCCGTGTAGCTAAGACTACAGGTGTGCATCACCATGCCTGGTTAATTTTTTGTATTTTTTGTAGAGACAGGATTTTGCCACGTCACCCAGGCTGGTCTCAAAGTCCTGGGCTCAAGAAATTCTCCCACCTCAGCCTCCCAAAGTGCTGCGATTACAGGTGTGAGCGACTGTCTCAACTCGTCTAGGTCTTTTTGCAGCTTATTAATTTCTTTTTCTTTTTCTCTTTTTTTAAATAAATGCCCATGTTTATTATAAGATAGAAACATGAAGAATTCCTTAGGGACTTTTTTTTTTTTTTGAGATGGAGCCTCACCCTGTCACCCAGGCTGGAGCACAATGGTGCAATATCTGCTCACTGCAACCTCTGCCTCCCAGGTTCAAGTGATTCTCCTGCCTCACCCTCCTGAGTAGCTGGGACTACAGCTGTGTGCCACCACGACCGGCTTATTTATTTATTTATTTGAGTTTTTTTTTTTTTTTTTTTTTTTTAAGATGGGGTCTTACTTATTTGAGGTTTTTTTTTTTTTAAGATGGGGCCTTGCCTGGTCACCCAGGTCACCCAGGCTGGTGTACAGTGGCACGATCATGGTACACTGCAGCCGCAGCCTCCCAAACTCAAGCAATTCTGCAACCTCAGCCTCCTGAGTAGCTGGGACTACAGGCAGGAACTCCTGGGCTCAAGCCATCTTCCCACCTTGGCCTCCCAAAGTGCTGGGATTACAGGCATCAGCCGCCACACCTGGCCGGCTCATTTCTTTTTATTAGTGAATAATGTTGCATTGTATGAATGTACTATAGTTTTATCTAATCCACCTATCGAAGGGCATCTTACTTGATTCCAATCTTTGGTAACTATGAATGAGCTGCTGTAAACATTCATGCCCAGGTTTTGTGTGGGTGTTGTTTCCAGCTCATTGGAGTAAATGCCTAGAAGTGCAATTGCTGGGCCATATGGTAAACCTATGGTAAACCTATGGTTAGCTTTGTAGAAACTGCCAGACTGCTTTTACATTCTCACCAGGAATGAAGGGGAGTTCCTGTTTCACATCCTTTCCAGCATTGAGTGCTGTCAGCGTTGGGTGTGCTGTGCTTTTTTTTTTTTTTTTTTAAGACGGAGTCTCACTCTTGCCAGGCTGGAGTGCAGTGGCGCAATCTTGACTCACTGCAACCTCTGCCTCCCGGGTTCAAGCGATTCTCTTGCCTCAGCCTCCCAAGTAGCTGGGACTACAGGTGTGCGCCACCATGCCTAGCTAATTTTTTTAAAAAATATTTTTAGTAGAGACAGGGTTTCACCATGTTGGCCAGGATGATCTCAATCTCTTGACCTTGTGATCCAACTTGACTGCCTTGGCCTCCCAAAGTGCTGGGATTACAGGCATGAGCCACTGTGCTTGGCCTATGCTGTACTTTTAAACTCTTTTCTTTTTACAGCAGGGCAGATTGGAAAGTGTGCCTTGTTTTTGTTGCCCACATGAAGCTTGTTTTGAACTGTTTTATGTTCACAGTTTGGGATTTTTGAGGCAATGTTGCTGAGCTGTCCTGTCAACCTGAATTTGAGTCCTTTATCTGCCACTAACCTTGCCATGTGACTATGAGCAAGGTACCTAGCCTCTCTGTTCTTCAGTTTCTTTATCTGTAAAATGCAGATTATGCCCAGCTCATAGCAGTGGTGTGAGGAATAAATGAAGATACTTGTAGATCACTTTTACATGGTATGTGACACTTGGTAGGCACCAAATCATTGTTGCTGGGAGGATCAGTACATTCTTGCTTGTCTACACACACACATACACACACACACACACACACACAGAGAGAGAGAGAGAGAGAAACAGAGACAGAGAAATTGCAGAGATAGTACAAAGAGTTCCCATGCTTCCCCCATTATTAGCATCTTACACTAGTATGGTGCATTTGTTAAAATTAATGAACCAATATTGAGATGCTTTTATTAACCCAAGTCTGTACTTCATTCAGATTTCTTTGGGTTATTCCTAATGTCCTTTCCTGTTCCAGGGTCCCATCTGGGACACCACATTTCATTTCGTCATTGTATCTCCTTAGGCACTCTCCCTGGCTGGGTCACTTGTTGAGTTGCTTTTGATTGCATTGAAATTTAATTTTGGTGCAGACAGTGAGATCTCTGTTACGGAGTTCTTAGGTTAAAACTTAGTCACAATGGCTGGGTGCAGTGGCTCATGTCTGTAATCCCAACACTTTGGGAGGTCGAGGCGGGCTGATCACTGGAGGCCAGGAGTTCAAGACCAGCCTGGGCAACATAGTGAGATTCCCCCCATCTGTACTAAAAATAGAAAAAAGGTTGCCAGTCATGGTGGCACGCACTGTAATCCCAGCTACTCTGGAGGATGAGGCATGAGAATTTCTTGAACCCAGGAGGCGGAGGTTTCGGTGAGCTGAGATTGTGCCACTGTACGATGAGGCCAGATTCTGTCTCAAAAAAAGGGCAGACTTTATTCACAAAATTGTTATGGGGCATCCTGTAGTAGTCCCGGAGCTGGATGTGTAGTAGATTCCTGAGATTGTAATCTGAAGTCTGCTGTGCTGTGGTGAAACCTGCTTGTATACCAGAAAGCAGACCCAAGCTGCTGGAAACCACCTCTACCATATCCTGTCCTATTTGTCCTCACCCAGCTTCTGGTAAATAATGTCCATTGAAAAATGCTGGTTGGGTTGACATGGTGGTTTGAGCAATAACACATCTCAGGAATGTTGGGGGGTGCGGGGTAGGAAAAGGAGGCCACTGTGTTTTTTCCTGACAGTCCCCTTAACACTGCTGGTGGCTCAGTGCTGGAAGGGTGTCGCCCCAGCATGTTAGCTGAACTGTGTGGTTTCTCTGCATGTTAATAACTTGCACTGTTTCAGCTTGTGTTTTCTCCTTGACATCACCAAATGAAAACATATGTCAGAGGTTTTGGATTTCTGGTGCCAAATCCAAGCTGGTTTATCAGCAAACACCCCCTGCCAGACAGTGGCACCTGTGTGCTGAGGCAGAGCTGCTTCCCTTCAACTCTGGCTCTTTTCTAAGAACTGAAAATAAGCTGCGGAGGCTGTGACTTCACTTTTCTTGGAACTGCTTTACATTGCCCCCAAAATGCAGAAAACCCTCATTTGGCAGTTTTTGGATTGCTGAGTTCTCTAATTCTTTCTGCTGCTCATTCTTGTAATGCTTAAATTTGACAAATTCTTCTGCATCGGGAGAAGCAGGAGGGGGAAGGAATGACCGTGTGAAGGAACTGAGTGCTTTGTCGCTCTTCCTGTTGCTGTGTGGTTTAATGGTTGACAAGAAAAAGCACCTGGAAGAGACACTGTGTAGAATGTCTCCCAATTCCAGGGGTCACAGCCCTGTGATCTGCTGGCCAGCAGTTGGCTAGGGCTGCTGTTGCTGAACATCAGACTACAGCCCAAACTTAAGAGCAGCTGTAAGGACAAGGGGAAAAATGCATTTTCAGCCATAATGACCTACGTTTAGTAGATATTTTGGAGCTCGTGCAAAAGGACATCTTCAAGGGGCCTCTGCCTCCTTGCAATAGGGAGATAGTGATGTCCGCCAAACCTGGGGTTGGGTCCTGGTCCTGCCCATTCCTGTCTGACTTTGGTCTTGAAAGTCAGTCTGTGAAGTGGAGACAATTCTTCCTTTGAAGGGTGGTACCTGGTAGGTTCTTGGGAACTGAATTAGGTTTCCCCTCCTGAGAGTGGGTCTCTGTAGACAGTCAGATACGTTGTTCTGAAATCATCTGTTGCTATCTCTGTCTCTGTTGGAGGTTCTTCCAGTGATGTGTGATTGTGTCTTACTTACCTCAGTATCCCTGCCCAGCATGGCGTCTTACATAACATACATGGGCAGTCAGTCAGTGTTACGACTGGCTGGGTTTTAGGCTGGAAGACAGTGGAAATATATAAGCAAAGGCAGTGTCTTGAATTTACACTTGGCCTGCAGCAGTTTTCAAATGAAAGGAGACCCCTACTTAGGAGGGCCTTTTGAATTGGGCCCCCTGTATGGTTTCTAGTGGGCCCGAGGGCAATGGCTAGACTGTTGGGGAGTGCTCTTTAAGTACAGAGGGAAGAATTGGTAAAGACATAAAAGCATAGAGGAAAAGGATTGAGACAGTCGAGTCCAAAAAATGATTCATGTGGTTTGGGCAGAATCTGAAATGAGAGGCCTTTGAGACTGACTAAACATCTCTTGATAAAGAATGCAAATTCAGCTGGACTCGGTGGCTCACACCTGTAACCCCAGCACTTTGGGAGGCCGAGGTGGGCAGTTCACCTGGAATCGGGAGTTCAAGACCAGCCTGGCCAACATGGCGAAACCCTGTCTCTACTAAAAATGCAAAAATTAGCCAGACCTGGGGTGGGAGTGCCTGTAATCCGAGCTACTTGGGAGGCTGACACAGGAGAATCACTTGAACCCAATCAACCCAACGGAGGTTGCAATGAGCTGAGACTGTGCCACTGCACTCCAGCCTGTGCTACAGAGCAAGACTCTGTTTCAGAAAAACAAAACAAAACAAAACAAGAATGGAAGTTCAACTAAGAATTAAGTGTCAGGGATTGTGCTAGAAGCCATCTTGTGAGTTGCTTCATTTTATTGTCCCAGTACCCCTGGGAGGTCTATTTCCCCTATCCCCTTTCACAGCTGTGAAAACTGCAGCCATGGAGATGAAGTCCTTTGTCCAGGGGCTCTGTCCAGCTGCAGAGCCAGGTTATGAACCACTAGGTGCCCCTCATCGTTAAAGACACTGTGTTGTTGCGGGTGGCCGGGACCAGGCCCTTCCCTACGGCACCTTGTCCCCAGGGCAGCTCTGGGAGCTGATGGTCTCTGCGTGGGCACTGGCACCCCCTGCTGGTCTGTGCTCGGGAAATGGAATGACAACCAGTTGCCAGAAAACAAAGGCACAGAATGAAGCAAAGGAATGAAACGGGGCCACGAGAAGCTTTACCTCTGTCTACCCGGGAGTTCTGCCCATTATGGCCAAGCCGAGGTGGGGGTCGGGGGTGCTGGATTTGGCAACCAGATGGGTTCTGAGGAGCTTGCAGTGGGGCCAGCCCCAGTGTTCATTAGTTGGATGACCTTGGGTGGCTTATTTCACTGCCCTTACTTCTGATAGCCATAGAAACGGGATGATGTGGGGTCAGAGAGGTCAAATAATTCACCCACATGGCTGTTAGCTGGAATCCAGTGCTTAAGAGTTTACTTTAGTGGCTCACACCTGTAATCCCAGCACTTTAGGAGGCTGAGGCGGGCGGATCAGCTGAGGTCAGGGGTTTGAGACCAGCCTGGCTAACACAGTGAAACCCGGTTTCTACTAAAAATACCAAAAAATTATCTGGGCGTGGTGGCGCATGCTACTCGAGAGGCTGAGACAGGAGAATCACTTGAACTCGGGAGGCAGAGGTTGCAGTGAGCCAACACTGCACCATTGCACTCCAGCTTGGGCAAAACTCCATCTCAAAAACAAAAAGAAACCACAAAAGTTCACTTTATTGGCCTTTTTGTGGCCAAGCGCCTGCTGGGTTCCAGGCTCTGGGGATACACAAGGTGAACGAGACACATGGTTGCTCACTGTGCAGCTTGGTGACTTCTTGGACCTCCCGTTCCTCCTTACATTCCTGTTTAAGCCTGAGAAAGCCCTGTGCTTTTAAGAACGTGTTTGGTTAGATTGGGCTCACCTGGGTATCCAGGCCAGTCTCCCCTTCTCAAACCCCTTGCTAATCCCACTGGCAAAGTCCCTTTTGCTACATAAGGTGACGTATTCAGAAGTTCTTGGGATTAGGGCATGGACATTGTTGTGTGGGGAGGGACAGTCTGCCTACCTAGTCAGCCCTCTAGACCCTGAAGATGTATGTTCATCCCAAATACAAAATACTTTCACCCTGCCCTAAAGCCTCATCCCATTATAACATCAACTCGAGAGTCTAAAATCTGCTCTAAATCTCGTCACCTAAATCACCTCAATCTGGCATGTGGGAGGCTCTGGGGATGACCAGTCCTGAGCAGTTCCTCTCCCTCTGTGAACCTGGAACTCACTAAACCAGTTACCTGGCCCTAAAGTGTAGTCGGCAGCCACTCAGAGGGGTACAATCCAGTTCTGTTCCTGATCCAAGGGACCTGAGATGTGATATGGGCAAGAAAGATAAAGAAGAAACAAAGAGGCTGCACACCCAGAAATACCAGACCACTAAGCCTCCTTTCCTCCTGGTCACAGAGGACAGGGAAAGGAGTTTCTCCAAAGGGCCTGTCGGCACCTCATTCCATGTCCTGTGAGCTTGGGAGAAGGCTGAGCTAGACACTTTCCTTCAGCGGGTACTGCTCATTGTAGAAAGTGGGTCAGGCCGGGAGCGGTGGCTCACACCTGTCATTCCAGCACTTTGTGTGGCCGAGGCAGGCTGATCTCCTGAAACCAGGAGTTTGTGACCAGCCTGCTCAACATGGTGAAACCCTGTCCCTATTAAAAATACGAAAATTAGCCAGGCGTGGTGCTACATGCCTGTGGTCCCAGCTACTCAGGAGCTGAAGCAGGAGAATTGCTTGAACCCAGGAGGCGGAGGTTGCAGTGAGCCCAGATCATGATCCTGCACCCCAGCTTGGGCCACAGAGTGAGACCCTGTCTCAAGAAAAAAGAAAGAGAGTCGGAGTCAGGGCCTGCCCTGGGGTCTTCCACTGGACAGCTGTGCATTACTTGTAGGTGAAAATTTTCCCAGAGCACAGCTAAGCCTGGTTGGCCTGTGTGTAGGACTCCTGCATGTAGCTAATTATCAGCTCCACCTGGGCTGTTTTTACCTCGTCCCTACCCAATAGCTTTAATTAGGATCCACGTGCTGAGGGCTCAAGAAAGTCTAAGCTTTTAGAAAGGTCTCCGGTGAGTCTCATCATCAACTAGGTTTGGCAGCCACAGATCTACAGCTTTCTGGCCCAGAGACACCTGGGGCACAGGAGGAGTCAGAGCTGCCCGTGACGCTGGTTGTAAGCTGGTGAAGGCTCACTCGAGTGGGGACCCTGGAGCCCAGGGGACCAGGACCAAGGGGTCCCTGCATGCCCCAGGTTTCTGAGGAGAAGAAAGGAAGGCTGGAAAAGCCCATGTGGAGGAATGGAGCTGCTCTGCCTCCTGGACATCCAGGGCCATGCTTGATACTGGGCTGCTGCAAGGTAGTGATATCAAGTTCCCTTTTTAAAAAGCCCTGTGACTGGGTGCAGTGGCTCACACCTGTAATCTCAGCACTTTGGGAGGCCAAAGAGGGTGGATCACCTCAGGTCAGCTATTTGAGACCAGCCTGACCAACATGGTGAAACACCATCTCTACTAAAAATACAAAAATTAGCCAGGCTTGGTGGCACATGCCTGTAATCCCTGCTACTTAGGAGGCTGAGGAAGGAGAATTGTTTGAATCTAGGAGGCGGTGGTTGCAGTGAGCTGAGATTGCACCACTGCCCTTCAGCCTGGGTGACAAAGCAAGACTCCATTGCGAAAAAAAACCAAAAAAACAAAACAAAAAAAACAGCCTTGTTAATTTCCTCCCGTGTGTTGATGCACTTGCTATAATAATTATTCCCGCCATTATAAGTCACCTGCTCCCAGGGCTGCCCTGCCCATTGCGAGACCTATTCTGTCTTCTTAAGTGTGACCTCCACCTCCCGGGTTCAAGTGATTCTCCTGCCTCAGCTTCCCGGGTAGCTGGAACTACAGGCACGTGCCACCATGCCCAGCCAATTTTTGTATTTTATAGTAGAGATGGGGTTTCACCATGTTGGCCAGGATTGATCTCTTGACCTTATGATCTGCCCATCTCGGCCTCCCAAAGTGCTGGGATTACAGGCATGAGCCACTGTGCCCAGCTGGGAAAAATCTTTTTAAAGATGCACGTATATAGTAAAATGCATATCCCAACACAAATGTTGCACCTGTTGATGTGTGTCTTAAGAAGCCTGAGGTAGGGAAGTTTGGTAGGTGGAAGTTACTTTCCATCTCCTTTCTCATAGCATGGCACATGGAAGAGGAGATTTTGGCTTTATCATTTCACTGTGAGCGTCCTGTTTTTTCCATGGGCATGGGCCTTTAGTGCCAAATTTACTTCAAAACCTTGTGAAATTATTTATGCAGAAAGAAATAATGAGGAATCTTGGGTAATGAAAAAGCAACCGGCCAGTTTTGGAAAAATTCCAACATGGGTTGTTTATAACTAATTGGAAAAACATGTCTCCTGTCAGTTGACTTAATCCTTTTTGCAGTGCTGGGGGCCTTAAGTGTTCCCAGAAGGTTTGAGGAGCATAATTAGCTCCCAAGGTGGTCAGCACAGTGACAAAAAAGGACAAAGGGCTCTGCCTGCCTCTGAGGGTCCTTCAGTCATGGTCAGCTCTGACTAGGGGAGCAAAAACCCTGTCTGTCCTCAGCCTTCCTGGCTATGGCAGGGGCGTGGGGTTGGGAGAGCAGAGCGTGGGCACTTGTTCTGGCTGGAAGCTTAGCCTTCGAAACAAGGTTGCAGAGGCAGAGTTTGAGACTCAAACAGGAAAAGGAGGTGGCCCATGTTGCTGCTCTCAGAGCTGAGGGTCCCGAACTGTCTGATTATAAGTGCAGTGTTGGACTCTTACATACTTTTACAAAGTTATTTTCAGAGACACGGAAGTCAGTGGTCCCCACTTTCTCTTCCTCATTGGAGTTTCCTGGAAAAGAGTGTTCCCAGGGACAGATGATCTGATGGGGCTTTGGCCCCACTAGTGTCCTTAAGAGGGAAAGCTCTGTCAGCAGAGGGAACCTCAGCCTCGGCTGATCACACAGGCTATGCTAGGCCAGGATCTGCAGACACCAACAGCCTGCCCTAAGGCTCCCAAGTCAGAGAGGTTCTGTCAGGCCTGGTCCTGGCTTTTGCTAGCCAGTCTCAGTCCCTGGCTGCATCTCTCGGGGGCTGGTGCGATGTTGTTTGTGAGATGGAGCAAATGGCATTGCTTCTACCCCACCAGGGTGGCATCAGGATGAAATTCAACATGGGAAGAACCCTCCCCCACCCCCATGGACCAAGAGGTGATACTATTAGAGATATATGGGTTTGTGGTTTCCCCTTATTGTTTCCTTTTCCTTCCTGAAACCCTGCAAGAGGCTTTGTGGGAAAGGAAGGGTCTTTCAGATGCCTGAGTGCGGCTGGGAATGGCTCTCCCCAGTTAGCCAGGCTGGTTGGAGCCTAGGGGAAGTTGTCTGGGTTGTGGCTTTGAACTGCCAGAGCCACTGAGGCACAGCTGGCCCACTGCCAAGTGCTGCCAATCATCCTGCAAACACCACCATTGTTCATGCCTGGGAGACGTTCCAGCATTGACCAAAAGGGTTGCTGGGTCTTGCCCTGCTCAGGACAGGCTGCTCTAGAGTGATCTATGGTCATACGCTAAGGACAGATCTGGGTCCTATGCCTACCAGGGACCCTGAACACTGAATGCCCATGACAGGACCCCAGCCCATGGGCATGGCCTCTCTTGTTAGTATTAATTATGCACTTATGTGAAACGTACCCACTTTTGAAGAGAGGGACAGACAGTGATTAAAACAGTTGAGGGCAGGTCACTAGGCTGTTTCAGGCTCCATTAGGAAATGGCTCTGAGAAGGTTACTTTAGAGCGAGGGAAAGTTCTCCCTGTTGGAGGGGCTCTAGGCTGGCCAGCCCCTTACTTTAAACCCTGGCCTACTCTAGCCACCCAAGAACCTTCATTAAGTGGCTCTGAAGTAGGAATGGCTACTTAATTTTCAAGGATCAGCATAAAATGAAAATAATTTTCAAAAATTAAGATTCAAGTGGGCCGGGCACAGTGGCTTACGCCTGTAATCCCAGCACTTTGGGAGGCCAAGGCAGGTGGATCACGAGGTCAGGAGCTCGAGACCAGCCTGGCCAACATGGTGAAATCCCGTCTCTACTAAAAATTAAAAAAATTACCTGGGCATGGTGGTGGGTGCCTGTAATCCCTGCTACTGGGGAGGCTGAGGCAGGAGAGTTGCTTGGTCCAGGAGGTGGAGGTTTCAGTGAGCCAAGATCACGCCATTGCACTCCAGCCTGGGGGACAATGAGAGACTATGTCTCAAAACAAAGAAAAAAAAAAAAGATTCAAACAGGAGAACATTCAAGCAAGCGTTAGGGACCCTTCTGAGCACGGGGCCCTGGCTGTGCAGCTTGTACACTGGCCCAGGTCTGGAGAGAGTGCAAGACAGGCAGCTGGCCTGCACCATGTGTGTGAACTGAGTCACCCTGCCCTTTGCAGGGTTGATGGGGATCTTTTCTATGTTGCTGGCCTGGCAGGGCTGATGACATGAGCGGTGCTTGCCCTGGTCTGGGCTGAATATGATAACACTAGGACAAGTTGAGGGGAGGGGGATTGGAGCGGGGTGCTCCAGAGAGCATCATCTCTGTACAATAGGAAGTCCCTGAGCTTGGGCACATGACTTAATCATCTGTCACAAGGTTCAGAGTAAAACCCAGAAGGCCAGGGCAATGATGTATTTAAACGGTCACTACCCAAGTTAGCATTTTCCAGTATCATTAAAAAATGTTTTATAGATACCAGGTCTCACTGTGTTGGCCAGGATGGTTTTGAACTCTTGTTCTCAAGTGATCCTCCTGCCTCGGCCTCCCAGGGTGCTGGGATTACACTAATAAGCCACTGCACCTGGCCTCCAACACTGTTTTAAAATTTTTGACGTATCTGTGATTTTGGACTATACCTGTTTTGTTACTTCTGTTAGAGAAAATTGAACTGGCCAGGTGAGGTGGCTCACGCCTATAATCTCAACACTTTGGGAGGTTGAGGTGGGCAGATCACATGGTGTTTCTACTGTGATAGTTTGAGACTAGTTTGGACAACATGGTGAAACCCCGCCTGTACTAAAAACACAAAAATTAGCCAGGCATGGTGATGGGTGCCTGTAATCCCAGCTACTCAGGAGGCTGAGGCAGGAGAATCTCTTGAACCCAGGAGATGAAGATTGCAGTGAGCTGAGATCATGCCACTGCACTCCTGTCTGGGCCACAGAACAAGACACTGTCTCAAAAAACCAAAACAAAAAAACCTTCGAAAGCAGATTTTTGTCACTGCCAGGTGACCTTACTAATCACTAACCACGGGTGTACAAGGACAAAGGAAATCAGAATGAAAGAATATGTGCCTTGTTTTCTTTGCCTTTGACCTTCAGCCCCATGCATTCCTGCAAATGCTTTGCCCATGGCAAACCTTTGAAGACCCTAACTTTTCTGTTTTAAGTGAGACTTCCAAGTGATTTTATGTTGTCTGGAAAAGGACTATCTCTTTACTGGAGAGCAGTTGGTATCTGAAGAGAATGAGATTAGGTTGCTAGGGACACCCTTGTTTGCAATGTTTGGTTTATATAAATTATTGGTGAATAAGAAAAATAAATTTATTCTTTCTTCCAGATGGTAAACTGGAAACTGTGTTACAGGGCAAAGTGAGTCATGGGGCGTGGGAGACTCAGATGGAACAGGGCTCTGGGACGTTTCTCTTTCTTGACTTGGGACCTCTTTCTAATTTACCTACCAGGCCTCAAATTAAAACACAAACAGAGGCCTCTAATCTGTTTGGATGGGAACAGATAAAAGTTCCTCTGGGTGGATGGATAGGAGAGGGAAGGAGGAAGTTCACAGAAACTGAAAGAGGACTTTTTTTGGGCAGAGAGGAAGAAATCTCCTGTTTAATTACAAAATCAAAATATCATTTGCAGTGCCTTCCTTCTCCAACCAGTCTTTTAAGAAATTGACATGTAATTCACATACCACAAAATGCAGCAATTTAGAGTATCATTCTCTGGTGTTTTGTTTGTTTGTTTGTTTGTTTGTTTTTGAGATGGTGTCTTGCTCTGTCACCCAGGCTGGAGTATATGGCCTGATCTCAGCTCACTGCAATCTGCGCCTCCCAGATTCAAGCCATTCTCCCACCTCAGGCTCCCGAGTAACTGGAGTTAAAGGCAACCGCCATTGTGCCTAGCTAATTTTTGTATTTTTTATAGAGACA